ATTTAATAGTAGTAGTATGGATTCATTGATACTTTTCGGATTACGATTATTCTTTCCTTATTTTAATTTATTTCACGCATCTTGTTAAAAAATTCGCCTTAGTATTAAGTTAAACCTATTCACCTTCGCCTCTTTTTCTTAATTCTTATCTATTTTTTTTCGCTTTCATGGTTTTCATTTTCATTCTCTCTCCCGCTTCTCCCTCCCTCCGTCACACTCATTCCATCTGATTTTCGTTTCTGACTCGTCCATCATTTGATGAATGAAATGCATAGAAATATATATATGGAGTAAAGTACCACCGCAGTTATTATGAAGTACTTTCATATTTGGAAGTAGTAGATGGTTTTGAAGTAGATAATAGTCGAAGTGAAATTTAGCGGTAGAGGAAGATCAATAAATGGAAGGGGTCGTTACTCGTCGCGTAGCGAGAAAGAGCCAGTCATGGAGCAGATAAGAGAAGACGGGCAAAGATAAAGAAAGCCGAGTGAAGAAAGACATGGAAGGAAGCGTGGAACGAACTTTCATCCTCCTCCACTCGGAAGATACACTTGAGGCGAGTCCGCGAGCGAAACTGCTTTTGATCATCGTCTACGACAACGCACTCTTCCTCTTTCCCTCCGTGCGTCACTCCCTCCTTTCCCGTTTCTTTGTAATCGCGGATATCTAGCCCCCTAACTCTTTGCCGGCTGCCGCTTTGACACAGAGGAACGCGAGAACGCGGGACAAAAGTGGATATAGAGAGAGGCGAAGATACGCGCGCAACGCGGAAACGATCGAACGATCGCGGGACGATGCGTTTTCTTCCATCGGCGGAGCGTCGGGTCGTGAAAAGACGGGAATCGCGTTTCGGAGCTGCGCGGGGTAAGGGAGAGCGAGTCGCGACGCGCCGTCGGGTCGCTTTGAAACGCAACGGAATTTGTCGGACAGAAAATTGTAAGAGGCTCGGGGAGGACGCTGTTCGCGAGCCGTGCTCCACCCTGCGTGACAGCCAGACAATGGCCGGGCTTTTGTACTTTGTAACGCCGGTGCTAATTACTCCGCATCAGCCGCGCGGCCCTTAAGGCACACGCTGTCGAACACTTTTACACCCGGGAACCACTGAGAAAGCAGATTAACCTAACAAAACGCGGAAGAAGAACCGTCGTCCGCCGCTTTGACATGCAAATAATTCGCGATAGTTACAACCGAGAACGATGATTCGCGCCCGATTCTACTTTAATAAAGATAAGAACTCGTCTTCGGCTTTGCAATGGTAATCCCTGAGACATGCGTTTTTTATTGCACACTATTTTTTAGTAATAATTCCTGGACTAGTGACGGAGACTGGTAGAACGGGAGATGGAAGCTCTTGAGGGGAGTTCCAGTCGGCAGATGCATCGGCTTTAAAGCACGCGAGTGTCATAGAATTTTTCTACTTCCACCAATGATACTCGCATCTCTAATCATGAAAAGAACATTTTCCCATGTAAAAATGCAAAAACAAGGGATGTTCTCTTGTATCAATAAATTTATCATTATGAGAATTAAGCAAATAAATTCTGTAGAATAATTTCCAATTGTCATAACAGAGGCGATTCTCCTTTAGAGAGGTAATCAGGCCAGGTTAATCTGCGCACTGTTCTGAATCAGACCGGGAAGTTGATTCGAAAGAAGAAACGGTGAAACCGTCGTCTTCGCCCTCCGCACTACGGTCTCTAATTAAATAACAACATAATTCACCGTCTTGCGTTAAAACAATTAAATAACGTTTAAGATTCAGCGACGGCTGCCGGTGCTTTCCCATTACTTCAGAGAGGGCGAGACCCTGGTCCACCCCCTTTCGCTTTCAGTTCCCGTCGCCTTGCCTCCTCTTCCGTTCGTCCGTCACTTTCTCCTTCGGTTTCCTTTTTTGCGGCCAAACTCGCATTGTTTTATGATTTTAATAAAACTCTCCCTATCTATTGGCATTTTTCGACATCCTAGAACAAGTTTCTTCTTTAAGGTTCTATGAAACCTTACATAAAAACAATGTCAAAGCATCCAGATTTTAACAGTTATAATAAAATCGACTGTACTCTACGAAAACTAGTAGAAATGGATCGATATGGTCAGACAATACGGTTGAAATTTGTTCTCAATAGTTTTTTTTTAGTATTTCCGCGACAAAGCAGAGTAAATTTGGGTACAGGCGACCACATTAATCGGCTCGAATCCATCAATGGGGTATAAATTAGACCGCTGACGAGGCTTCGCAACTATGATCGAGCGCATTTATCGCCATCGCGTTTCCCACGGCCGGCACGGTAAATAGTAAACAAATTAATTGTCGCCCGGTCGGGGACCACAAATCAGACGGGCGTGATTGTTGCAAGCCTTGCACGGTACGCCGTGCCGTTTTCAACAGCGAATCGCGCTGCGTACGCGGAATCGATTCGGCGACGCGACGCAACGGCACGTGCGAAAAGCGAGGCGCGATCAATCGTGTGAGCACCGCGTGTGTTTGTTCCGCGGTGACCGCCCGCGATCTGGGCCACGTTTTCACCCGATTTCCGCTCGGTGAAACGAACCGCGGGGATGATTCGACGGGTCGATGAATTCGTTTATTTTATGGTTTGATCTTTTTCGCTGTGTTTCAGGTAAATCTCATACGATGCTCGGCACGCCGGAAGCGGGGCACACTCTCGGCGCGATTCCATGTGCGATCGCCTGGCTATTTCGTGGAATATCCGAGCAACGGCAGAGGACGGGCGCCAGGTTTAGCGTGAGGGTCAGCTGCGTGGAATTAACCACCGGCCAGCAACAGCTACGAGATCTCCTCGCTGCTCACGCTAACGGTGAGCAAACACTAAATAGTGACACGGGAAACAGTAAAGTTGATGATCAAATAAGAGAAGTTCTATCTTTCATTTCCTCCATCCCTATTAAAATTGCTGTTAATAATATAAATGTTGACACGTTAAGCGTCAAGCCTGTCCTCCTTTCAGTCGTTAATTATTTTATTAACCATTAAGTGTTTAAATAATATTCATTAAAATTCTCCAGACTATTTAAAAGTTATTAATAGAAGAATCTTCTGAATTATTTAAATAATTGGCGCTTAACTTGTTAGAGATTCTAAAGCGTTCTCCGTCGATATTGAGAACCGCTTCGGTAGGGGAATAATTCTTATCTCGGGCTTCCCGATTCGTACCGGAGTTCGAAGAAAACGTCCATCCGTCATCGGAACTAGGAAAGTTTTTGAACGGGGGCCGGCGCCGAAGAAAGAACAAGTCTGCGTGACCACAGGCGTACGTAGAGTCGAGTTCCGGTTACAAATTGCGCGCAACATTTGTACCATATTCTCCCGAAGTGGAAGTTTTCTCGTTTGAACGGCCGCCCGGATCGCGATAGCATTGTGTTCGAAGAAACTCGAGTCGTAAGAAACACTCGGTTCTCCCCCGGTTGGTTTTAAGACTTAGCCCCGGCGCGTATTCGAGAAACTGGAACCGCTATAAAAGGAGCTTCCTTCCCGGGAGATGTACGCGTACACGAAGGGGGTTGAAAGTTTCCGCCGATAGGGTTGAGCCGTTTCGGTCGCAATTAATTCGATGCCTGGAAACAATGCGGGCAGGTACAATCGTTTTGGATTAATTAGCGCCGGGCGCAGCAGCCGGGCCCAGCCAAGGGAATTGGAACCGTTGATACACTGGCTGCTGCACGGTAACTCGGTCTAATTTTCAGAAACGTCGTTTCCCCTGTACGCCCGCTGGCAATCAACATTAACGTGAATTGTAACTACGGTCCGATCGTATTGGTTCCACGGGCTTTCCTGTACAAAGGGAATTTTTTGATCCCGTTTTCGAAGGTACGATATTGAAATGGGAATCGCGCCTCCGCTCTCTTCGTACTTCAAATATTAACCCTTCCTTTCGCTCGGCACGTTTTAGTTATTGAAGTATTTTAGAACGCGCAACAATTTTTGTTCGGGCGAGCAAATGGAATGGGAGTCTATTCGGTGAATGGGACGGAAACAAAAGGGTGAGATTGAAGCCGGGAGGCGAGGGGGTGGAAGGAAACAAAAGTAAATTACCGCAAAGGCGAAAGGTATTTCGTTTCTCGTCCTCCGGCTCCGACGAAAACTTGAAATAATTACCAAAGGAGGCGGGATTATCGAATTCTGTCGAGCAGAAAAGCCGAAGTTCCGACGGTGTGCCGAGATGCGGGGACCGAAAGTCGGCTGTGGAAGAAGAGGAACGGCCGTCTCCACGGCTGGGACAGACCTACGCGATACGAGTTAATTATTTAATAAGCTGGAAAATTAATTGCACCGGCTTCTTAATTAGTTAGCGTTCCACGAGAGCGGAAAGAGTCGTCTCTCTCGTTAAGACCCCGGGATACTCTGTGGGCGCCGTTCCGAAATCAGCTTCGCGCGAAACTTGCGCGCGTGTATGCTTCCCCGGGAAAACAGTTTCGAGGAAATTTCGGTCCCCGGGAATTTATCCCTTTCGTCGTTTTCGTCGCTAAACACTTTACGGTTTTAAGCCTTCTTAGCGCGAGACGGTCGCGCAGCTTCGAAACGATACGTTCTCGAATCGAAGACCGGCACAAGAGACACCAGCAAGGGTGTTAAAAAAAGTATTACGTGACTCGTGAATCTCGTCCTCACTTTCGCGACTGGCTGAAAATTAATGGTCGGACGAACGAAAAAAAAATTGGTACCAGTTTATAGGGTGGCCTCCGGCGTTTCGAGGAAGCATAGTTCCCGTTCCGTTCGACGTCGCAGTTTAATATGCCACGTTCCACCGCGGCACGCGACTTCTGCGTTAATGTCAGCTACGAAATTTACTACGATTCTAAACCCTTTGAGATTATTACCCACCCTCGCATTTATCCTCTTCGCCGCGGCGGCACGATCGCGATAACCTCGTACGCTCTCTCTCTTACGGCCGGTCACATTGTTTCTTAATGCAGGCACGCGGCGCGCGTCGCCTTTTTAATTTTCAAGTTCGACCATAACGCCGTTCCTCGGTTCTTTACGATAATTTCGACATCCGTTTATGCGGCCGATCTGTAAGGAAGTGGCAGTAAAAACTCGATACATCCACTTGATAACCGGCCGAGTTCCAGGAAGGGCCGAGTGTATGATTCGCGTAATTGCCTGCTTCGTATATGGGTTCCGATGGAGATTGCGAGTGGACGTCGAAGGTTAATTTCCAGAACGAGGAAGCACTCCCTCCCGCAAATGCGCCGCCACCCTTCGGTTTCTTATTAGTCCTGCGGGTGGTAGTTCCACCGCGATTCCTCCGCAGATACGACCGGGAGGGTAGGGAGGGGAAAAAAAAAAGAAATAATCCTGCCCCTCAATTTTACGGATCACCGAGTGGACGAGCTGGCCCGTGAAGACGGGACCAAATGGCCGGCGCAAGACTATTCTCAAGCTTGCTCCATCCTGCATATTATTCGTCTCTCCCGATGCTGCGAATATGAAGGCGATTTTTTAAAATTCCGAATGTAATTTCGTTCATAAATCAAATATCATACATTAAAAAGTATGAGAGATTATTTTAATTGCAAGATCACAATAAATCGTTCAGAGCTTGAATGAAATTGTGATTCATGTAATTGAATTTTATTTGAATTTAATAAAAATTGCCGTCTATAAATATTTTGACGAAAGTCGCGACGAGGAACGCACTCGCTAAGGGGCGGGAATGTTTAAGCGATGGGAACACTTCCACGGGATATATTTTTAAGCGAGGAACAGCGGGAGTCGCAATAATTCTCATCGTGACTCGCGCCACGGTTATTGTTTTATATTTCTCCGTCGCGTAAAGCGGATAAGGAGAGAGATAAGAAGAAGTCGGAGGAGAGGAAGACGGAGTGAATAATGGTCGCGCCTTGTCGCGGATGCAGCGTCATCCCGGTGCACGCTTTTAACGCGAACGCGTGCATAAAGCGAAACGGAGGCTCGTGTGTATGCGTGTTCTCGTTTTGTTCCTTGGATCGATCCCAGAATCGGAAGTCTGGGAATTTTTCTGCGAAACGCGGACTCAGTCGTATCCGAAATATTTTCGGTATACAAATTTCTCTGATGGAACAAGCTTTCCTATCTTCAATTTCAATTCTACGCTGTGTACGAGTCTGAGGGTAGGTCGGTTTCATTCGCGTGAAATTTCAGGGAATTCTACGGAGGGAACGATCGCGAGAATTATTTGTTAATATCCATTTGTTTGCCGGCCGACCGAAACAATCGATTAAATAACCCACGAAGCCGCATGTTTGCGTTCTGGCGTACGCCAGAAAATGTACACGTATAGATAGAATCGATAGGAGTCGGGGGAGGGCGATGTAACCAACGGTGCATCTGCGGTCAAAAACACTTCCGCTTCCGCTGTCCTGTCCTTCTGCTTCCCAGTTATTTTACCCGCCTCTACCTCGGTTATTTATTTCCCATTATACCGTTTAATTAACTCTATTGTGTCTTGGTCAAAAGCGGTCTCCTCACGAATATTCTCATTAATATTTATAACGAGATTTGATTTGCTGATTGATCGTTAAGATTGAAGGGATCAAAAGTCAATTAATGGCTCGTAGAAATGAGAATTGATACACAAGTCTATTCTCTTAGACATTTAATTATATTCTTTAAATCCCACGAAAAGTTGTTTCTTTTTCCCTGCGGAGTCTCCAGAAGACGTGCCGTTTATCAGAGACTGTAACTTTTACGAGAATGCGGAGGGGTTGGCAATTAAAGAAAACCATGCCGTCTTCCCACGGCGAGGCAATGGCCCGTACTCCGCTAGCCTCGTTCTATATGGCACGAATTGGAGATCGTTCCGTTAACGACAGCTTTCCTAGCTTTCGTCACTTGAAAGTTTAACGACGCGAAGCCCCCCGGTTTTCTCGGTCGAGAAGTAAATTCTCGGTTTACTGGCAATAATTTTTCATCCCCGTAAAAACGTACGGCAGTATCCCGCGATCGAGCCCAGCCCCCTTTTCGTTCTTTTCTACTTTTACCGGAAGCTCTGAAAAATCTCGATACTCCTTTGATCTCGAAGCGTATTATTAAATATTAGGAAATACAATTGAGCCGGTGGAGCGAAAGGAAGATATCGATTTGGAGAACGGGAGCCGAGGGAAGAAACGCAATTAGAAGGAAAATATCGCGGAGAGCTGTAACGGAACAACCGTGGTCGGTGAAACGGAGGGAGCACCTTTATGAAAGAATAACACGTGAAGTTAATTCTAATGGCCGTTCCGTGGATTAACAGGATAATATACCCACCGTCTCTATTATCCCGTTCGCGTTTTTTGTCGGATTTCATTCGGTATGCGACTGTTTGCGAGTCCGGCCGGTGGTAACCGGAAATATTCGAAGGAGGGCGCAACACCGGGTTCCCCGTGCGTGTTTCATTAAGAAATTCGATTCCCCGGCGATAATGAAACTGCGCCTTTTTCCACCTCGGTCATAAGAATCGCATAAAGTCCATCGAGAGGGAGAACAAGCAATAAGTTCGCGAGTATTAAATTAAAGGCCGGTTCGAATTAAAACTACCTACCGAGGGCGATTTATTTCCAGCGTATAAATAAAGTTAACGACTAAACGAGCATTCCCGTGCTTATTACGCCACCGGATATGATTTATTGAAAACTTTCTCCACCGCCGTGCCGCAGCGCCGTCCGTCCGTCGCGTACGGCCGGTCCTCGCCCCTTTTCTTCCTTTCTCCCAGGGAAAAATACGCGAAACGTGGCCGGCCTCGGCCTCCCCACGGATATACCCGGAGTTATAGTCAAGACGGGACACCGGGACTCCCGCGAATATTCGCAGCAGCTTATTACGAGCTTTTCCCCCGGCCCCTGTCCAGGATCCCGACGACCTACGACCTTTCCTCCCCCACCCCCTCATCCGGGGCTCCACTCGCGATAGCACCTGAACCACCCCGCAACTCTTAAACATGCCGCGGACAAGCCTTCTTTATACACCCGGAATTTATGCGTTCCCGCTACGTCGACCCTAACGTCGACTCTTGCTACTTTAATCTCGATACCGAGGGCCATTCTTAGTTCCACTGTTTGGTCCACGGTCCTCCCGGAGTGACTGTAATGACAGTGGATAAGTGAAAACGCGTGACGGGAGTGTCAATGGCCGTTAGATCGGCGAACGAATTATGCAGGGAAAAGCTGGCTCAAGTTATTATCGATTCCCCCGCCTTCGAAACGAATTACCGCTTCCGCCGCATCCCATCCGCGGCTGATACAACGGCCAGTGATTATCGGACCCGTTCTAGAAAAGAAAAAAAGTCGACAACTTCGAGGAGATCGAGGCTTCCACCTTTTTCTCTTTTCCGCGCAGTTCTTCCGCGTGGCAAGCAGGATTTATAAAATTCTTTTGAACTCCTTTTTTACTACAGCCTCTTTAATAGTTTACCGCTTTCATTCCCTTCGGCAGACGTTTGGGAAAACAGTCTCGTTCCGGTCGTCCCGGTCATTCGAAAACGACGGAAACAGATTTCTTTTACTGCCCTCGAAGCTTCGCCCCCTCGGGTAAGTCGATCGGCGGTATTCGAAACGCGTCGGAAAACGATTTATCCGACTCTCGCCAAAGCCTATAGCCACCCTCGGCGCGGGATGCATAGTATCCATATTCTTGAGAATCTTCATGATCGTAGTTTTATTTCCGACGCGCGTCTTCGTTGCGAGCCGCGCAGATGCCGACAATATTACTTTCTCCTGTCCGTTTTATGGATATTGCCACGCCTCGCCGGCATTAATACGTCCACGCGTGCATGCCGCGTACACGCACGAGCCTCGTTCCACCTTCCACGCGCCTCCATCGACTTTCTCTTAATTAACAAAAATTAATGAATTCATCGGCGAAGCTTGCAGATTAAATTTTTATCGCCTCTCGACCTCGAGGCAAAAAATTTTATAGCCCCAGGGTCATTGGTTCGCCAGTCAGAGTGAGATTGATCCAGTTTTTGCTCGGAAGCCCTAACAAAGGGAAGAAAAGGCGAGGTTTTTTACGACCTCGTGTCACGGAACCGATAGACACATAATAACGTTGTCTCCCAATGATTTCCTTTTCTTGGCGTCGTTCCGCCGTCGAGGTTGCCTTTCTAAGAGACGCGGCCAATATGTCAACGACGAGAGGATGTGTACATAAAACCTGGGTTACGAGCTGATCAGATGTCATGCGTTATTATTGTATAAAGCTTCTGAAGCGTGAACGATAAAACTTCCCCTTCGGATCCTTACAATTTTTCATCCTAATCGTGAATCATTTTCATCTTAAATATATGAAACTTCAGAATTATCAGTTCTGTAATACGTGATTTTACATAAGTATTTTAACTATTTTAAAATCATACATAATTCGATATTATTCCGTTAATTTATATTCCATTATCGGAAACTGTCTAGAATTCTGATAATGGGCGAGGCTCACAGAATATTCAACAGTCTCTGGTAGAATTCACTTTTAATTCTTGATATCAAATAGACAATGCTGACTCTTTACGTCGACTCCCCGCGAGGCACACGCGTGTACACGCCAGTCAAGCGATATCCGTGATAACGCGCAGCGATATCCACGCGGCCGTGTACACATACCTTTCGACGTTTTATCGTCGCCGTAACTCAGCTCGGAGACCTGCGGATATTCCGGGCGAAGGGAACGCCTTGCATCATAGCTCGGGCGATGTTATTTTTTCCCGGGGAATAACGGCATTAAACACAAAGGGTTGCCCGGGTATTATTCGCGTGTCCCTTATTTCTCCCCATGTAATCCAGCCAGCTTTTGCCTCGTAACTCCGCATTTGCCCCGTCTTCTCTGAATCGCCAGACGTAATACTCAAGGCAATATCTATGATGCGCGTACGTTTGTTATGTTATATTACATTATAAATATTATAAATATTATATTTATAAAATGTGGCATGTGTATTTCGTGTCATAAATAAATTTATAAATCAAGGGGTGCGGTAGCGGCCCGAAGGCAAGTTTGAGGCCCGTTAGGAGGCAGCATTGCCGTCGGGTACCGCGTACCTTATTTTTACACGTAAATTCGACATTTTAAATTTCTTTCGTGAATATTAATTGTTTCCTCTGTACTTTCTTAATGCTTTAACATCACAATACACTTTTTGTACACTACTTTACAATGTGTAACAAGTCTTATTTAAAAAGATGTCCTTAATGCAGAGATATTTTGTATGATACAGTAAATCATTTCTGACCCAAGCAAGGATCTACTCTTTGCACGACGTGATTTTGTTTGCTGTTCTCTCAGATTCGGAGCAGTCGCCGGCCGTGTACCTAAGGGACGATCCGCTTTTCGGTAGCCTGCAGCTGCAACAGCACAGCGAGCTGCGTGCACCGACTGCGGAACGCGCGGCGTTCTATTTGGACGCGGCGGTAGCCGGTCGGCAGCGAGACGACGGAGACGCTCACATGCTGTACACGCTGCACGTTTACCAGTACAGCGTAGCCGGCAAGGGTGGAGGTGAGCGACTTAAGTTTATCTCTGTTCTATACTCGGCACGTTTGTCATCTAGCTATCGTTCACTGCCAGAGGCAATTTCTGAAATAGAACTCTCGTCAATTTCTTTCGATACACTTTCCTCTCGTATCGAATTGTTCATCGATCAAGCAGTTTGATAGAATCGTTAGAGTTCGTCGAGTAAGGTTTATCGATTGTTGACGTTCCCAGTTGCCGGTGGCAGAAGCAGACTGCACTTAATGGACCTAGGCAATTCGGATCGCGGCAAGTCTTCCGGCGGAATCCCGTTATCAGGTTTGGGTAACATTCTTCTGGCGATCTTCAACGGACAGAAGCATCTGCCGTACAAGGAGCACAAGCTGACCCAATTACTGAAGGAGTGCCTCGGCTCCTTGACGTGTCACGCGGCGATGATCGCCCACGTGTCTCCGAACGCTCAGCACTACACGGAGACGCTCACTACCGTTCAGCTGGCGTCCCGGATACATCGGATGAGGCGAAGGAAGATCAAGTTCATCGGCGGCGGCACCCAAGGTGCCGGGAGCGGCGGCAGCTCGGGGGAGGAAGCCGCGAGACAGAACAGCGAGTGCGATCCCAGTTCCAGCGACCTGTCCGCGGACACGGTGATCTACGTCGGGCCCAGTACGGACGACGCGACCGACGGAGAGCACCCGCCGGTCTACATACCTAGCTTGAACTCCGGTGACAACCGTTGCGCGATGGGGAGAGTGTTACGCGGATCCGCCGCGGAAAGGCCTAGCAAAATTACCGAGGAACGTAGCAGTCCGGCTCACAAAGCTACGAAAGCGGTGAAGACGCACACGGCCTCGAAGCAAACGTCTCCGGCGCACACGGCCACGCCTAAAGCCAGTCCGGCTAGGAAGATCTCGTCGGCGAAGGTCTCGTCGAAGGTGAACGATTCTCCTGGTAGCAAAATCCCGGTGGCAGCGCCGAGCGGGGGATCGGACGAGCAATGGATAGACGGGCCTCGAATCTCGAAATCGAAAGTAGCCGAGGCGAGACACATGTTGAAGGATCCCCACCACAAGCGAGAGACGTGGATCGACGGACCGATGCAGCTGACCGGTCCCTCCACATTGCAGTTGCAACACACTCAGCAACATTCCTCGGGATATGGATTCATGGACAGCCACAAGAAGAGTATGATCAGGAAGTGGGTCGAGAATCAATCGTCGCAGATACAGAAGAGCAGGCACGCCTCGGCTAGGATGGAGTCGTCGTCGTCGAAAGTGTCTGGACAGTCGTCGCAGTTTAAAGAGCTGACGACGTTCAAGACTTGTCCGGGCGTCGACGACGATGATACGTCGCTGTCGACGGTCGAGAGCGACAGCCTGAAGGCGAACGAGATCGAGGACATCACCGAGAAACTCGGGGCTAAGCTGAACCTCTTGAACGTGAAGTCGAACACCGACTCGGGGCTGGATCTGACAGCCAGTCCTGTAATGGACGACAGCGTGGACAAAGGGAAGTTGGATCTTCAGGAGGACGAGGACGACGACGAGGAGATCGTGGTACCGCCGCCGTTGCCTCTCATCGAGCCATTGAGCAACGGAGTCAGCAGGGAGGTATCCATGGAGAGTCTGAACCTCTCTCACAAAGACATCGTCCTACCCTCCAGGCACTCGTTGTCTTCTGAAGACGAGATCCTAGAAATCGTTGAAGTCGAAGATCTGGAGCCGGTGCCTATGCAGGACTCCTGCCTCCAAGTGACCGAAGAGGATATCGCGATGTGCATGGGCGAAAATCCTCTGCCGGAGAGCGACCAGGAGGAACATCCTCTGAGAATTCTCAGCCAGGAGAACTTGACGGTCGTCTCTACATTCACTGGTAAGTACAATCCCTAGCTTCCCAAGAAATATTATCCCGGTATTACGGAGCTACCACCAGCTTGTTGACAATCTGTCCCGACGTTTATATCGCATTTCGTTTCCCCCGGTGCATTCGAATGGAAGGTTGTTCCGGGAAATCGATTCCTAGATCCCGGCTCTCGATAATAGCGCGATCGATGGAAAATAATCATATCGGAGCATTGAAGGAGGACGGATCCGTGGATCGTAACGATAGGAAAAAGAGAAATGGAGATTGGAAGCTCGATATAATTACTCGTCAATACTCGCAATCTCCAGTCTCTTTCTTCGCCTTCTTATCTCTCGCCTCCCCTTATCGATGGGAAATACTAAAAGGAAGCGCACGGTGTATTAATTTCCAGACTCGATGTCGGTGATGTCCGACACGGACCGGTACAGGCCCCAGTATCCGCCCCCGGTCGGCGCCGGCGTTTTACCGAGGCCGTACTTCGACCACGAGGATTTCCTCGAGCAGGAGACCAGACACAAGTTCGACCAGTTGGCCCGGCTCCACGAGCTCTACCAAAGCAAACTGGCCCTCGCCAACGTTTCCAATTCGGTCACTTACCAGAGGGAAAACTCCTCGAACGTGAACGTTAGAGAAGCTCCATGTAAGTTTTCACGAAGTTTCTTGCCAAGGGACAAGATCATTTAATTAGTAACACCGTAAATTATTATATGAAAATATTTTGACGATTTACAAAATTAAATTACACATCAATTACAATCTTTATATTTCCTATAAATTGTTTGCGCAAAGGATTTAGCTTGAAATGTTGATACACGTAGGTGGGTACAACAAGTATGATATTAACGCAGGACAAATTCCAGCCGCGCCCGTCTTCCGTCCTCCGTCGCGGTGTCAATCGTTGTCGCTGTCCGACGTAATGTTCAACGATAACGCGAGCAACCACGGGAGCATCTATAGCGAACCGGCGTACATCGCTGGTAAATCGGACCAGGAGAAGATCTGCGACAATTGCCGTCAAAGTATGACCAGACCAGCCACTGCCTCCTATTGGTATCCGAACAGCGTCGCGCATATAGCGAGCCCCAGGAGGTACTGCGGCAAGTTAGGCGAGTGCAATATATCTAGTCTGAGGCATCCGGACGGTGCCTCGAATCCGAATCTCAAGGAGGAAGTGGAAAGGTTACCCGGGAACGGTGCTTCCGGCTCGGACCCTGAAGAGGAATACGTCGAGGCGAAAAAATTGTTCACAGCTGCTGAGAGGTCCGAGAGGACTGTCACCGGCAAATCGGATATCGAAGAAGATCTCAAAGTTCAAGGTAAGAATAGAGTAAACTTCGACGAGCTGTGAATTGTAATACTTTTTATATCAAATATATTTTTGGAGAATTAAAGATATTAACACTAGGTGAAATGATTTTTTGTAGCAACGGCACCGCTGCAGTTGTCGATTCCATCGCCTGCACCGTCTTCCGGTCGAATGCAGCGCAAGATTACAAGCCTCGGCTCGTCGCTAGGCTTGAATAAAGAGGGCTACGATTCCGGGGCGGATTCCACGCCAAGAGCAGCGAAACTCTCGCCGGCCACGTTATCGAGGCATCGCGCCGAGAGTTCAGGGTACGACAGCATCGTGAGAGACAGCGAGACTAGTAGCATCGCAAGCGACTCGTCCAGACAGACCGGGGCTCTTCAGGAGCACCAAGGTAATTTCTATACGTTTGCTTTTAATAAAAATCTCCCGGGATCTATACTCGAAAAAGGCAAACATGATCGAGGAACCGTTGCAATTAATATCAATGAGTCAATTCTCTCGGTAAATCGACGTCACGTACTACACTCCCATCGAGTTTTTATCAAACCGCATGCTGCTACATATTTTATCGTGGAAATAAAAGAAACGCCCGATCGAGAGGCAACATGGAAAAGCTCTTTGACATGAGATGCGTCTAAAGAAAAAACCCGTACGGTGTCTACTCCTCAGGTGGCGCGCTGGGAGTTCTAACGTCGACGTTGTGCGGGTGTTTCAGCGGTGGAACAGCGGGTGGCAGAGTTCGGGCCCCGGTGCCGGGCCCGTCCGCCGCCGTCCGCCCTGCCGTCGCCGGGGATAATCGCGTACACAAGCGAGGACGTGGACATCCTGGACAGGCGCGCGCGGTTGCGCTCGGATCCACGTGGCACGATGTCCAGGATACACAGCCTTCGACTACGGCAGCGCCTTCTTAGGCTAGAGCTACGAGACGCCAAGAAGCGCCTCATGGTGCCCGATTCCCGCTGGAGCTACGACCGTCAGTATCTCTTCCTTCCTCGCACATTAAAAACATTTAATCTTGACAGTAAAAATCAAGGGAATAATTTATAATATATAAAGTATTATAAATCTTATATCATTATATAATATAAAGTATTATAAATATCTTATATAATTTTTATATATATATATATATTTATATTATATCATATATCTTATATAAAGTATTATAAATCTTAAATCATTCCCTGGACGTTTATACTGTAAAAGATTTCTTTTGATTGATTTCTTTTTTTAAAAAGAATGAAAATGCTGAACTTGTTCGATGTTTGTGTTACAGTCCACGTAGAGGAGAGCATGGACTGGCGGGACCCGTCGTTCCTCGAGGCGCTCGAGGCGGAAACGTGTATTTTACAGAAGCGAGTGCACGCCTGCAAGAGCCACGTTCTGTTGATCACCTGCTTCGACTCGTACCCGAGGCAGTCGTGCACGCGGCAAGCGGAAACGGCATCCGAGGTTCGGATCACTTAACGTAGAGTCGGGTCAGCGCGTACGACCGCGTGCTGATCGCCAAGATGATCTTCGAACGATTTAGAACACGAGACGAGCGAGGTCGCTGATGGGAAGCGCCAGGGGGAAAGAACGGAAGAGTCAAAAAGAATGGGGGGATCGTTGTCACGATGTCGCTCGACTCCGTCCAATTAGTTGTTAAATGACAAATCTAGTACGTATTCGTGTGATCGCCGTCGTCGTTGTTGCGCGATCTCTCAAATGGATGGAGACTTTCGTCCTCCTCTGCTAGAGCAATCAAGCGAGAACCGCGGGTTTATCGCAATTTTATCCTATCGGGGGACCGTAGCGTATTCCAGTGATTTCCGGGGTGAGACGTTCGAGGAGCGAGATTGTTGGCCGATTGACACCCGACGACTTCAAGTACACTTGTTGACTTAAATGATAATTTAGCGTACGAGTTGGTGCTGCATTTTTTTATACTGGTCGAGGGGAATTAGGTAAATTCACTGCCTCCGGTCTCCGGACTTCGCGACGTCACAGAGACACGGACCGAGAGGCCTGTTAGTCAGATTGCTCTGTTGGTACCGGAACCGGGCCAAGCTTCGAGAACAGCGAAGATTCTAGATAGAGCATTTACAAGTCGGCTGACCATTTTTAGGGAAGAGTTATCGTTGCGTAACGGCGTGCCGTGCCGTACCGTGCGTGCTTGATCGATCGGGGATCGGGTGTCGATCCCGCTTTCGACGAAACGATACGCCGAGCCTCGATCGAGGATATTCGGGACCGAAATTCAAGTAGAACTCGCGACGAGTTCGACAGCTAAACGGAGTATCAGTACATCGAATTCGCCAGGATGAAACGAAACGAGATAGGAGAAAGAGTATCTAATGTTATGTACGCTGGAAAATTCAGGAGACCAGCGAAACGATCGATGCGATATAAGAAAGAAAGAAAGAGTGGGAGAGAAAGAGAGAGAGAAAGAGAGAAAAAGAAGTAGACCGCCATTGTATTTAATGCACGCACGTTAATTCAAGAATATTATCGTAGCTTTAATCGTTATCAACAGTTATCGCACTTTCGTAGGGCTCTGTAATTTTCACTTTTAGAAGCGTGATGAGAATCGATGGGAATTCGCGAGAGAAACTATGGGAGCGAGAGTAGAGAGAATGAGTTAACGAGCGCTAAAGTAACTGAGAAGATGCCGAGAGAGAGAGAGAGAGAGAGAGAGTGTGTGTGTTACCTTTCTTCACGGTAAACTCTTAGTGTTCGTAATGGTAAAAGTTGCTCGGTACGCGAGAGATCTCTTTTCACCGGCTGAAACCGGAGACGCGAGACGACAACGTACGGAAAACGCGAGACACAGAGGGAGTCGACGGAGTTACGCGAAGTTTAAGCGTGGGTGGAACGCGGACCGGAGAGATTCAAAATAGACGGGATGGAAATAAATCGAGAATAACGCTAGTAATGCGCGGGTAGAAAATAGAGAGAGTGATTCCAGATTCCTGATACGAGAGTATCGATGAAACCTACGCTGCTCCGTCCACTCCGTATCTTTGCTCAGAGTATATGTCACTGTTTTTTCATAACTGTGCACCGCTGACGACCCGAGATCTCGATCAACTTTCACACGGTGACACTGAACATCGGAACACGATTCGGTTTAATTTCAACTATTTGTAACAAGATAATGTTGCGATCGTTCAAATGTTTAATAAATCGTAATTGAAAGCCGTTCTGCTTACCGAGCAACCCTATAGTCCGCAGGAGTCGTTCTCGAAGCTAAAGGACTAAATCGATCGCCAAGATTCCTGTGTCATTGTTAAACGAAAGACCCGTACGCCATATTCGTCCGTGTTGTTAGACTGTTCTTAACCCGCCACTGCCAAACCAAGCGTTTTCGTATAATCGATTATCCATCGTGTATCGTTCCCGCTTCCGGTTTTCAGTTTTAAACCCAGAGACTCGTCCTGCGACTGATTTAACAAACGATTTCATTCCCAACGATGCCTTCCAGGCGCGACGTTCTCAATTGAATTAACGAGAACGTCGAGCCAGAACGAAGTCAAACCGGTACCAAATCTCTATTCCTGTCTCCCGTTTATTTCATATTCCTCGATTTCGTGTTTCACAATCTAGGGAAAAGCGTCACTCCGTCTACTGCCGTGATAAAACACGATTATACTGTGATTTTAATAAGAAGCGCCACTGTTCTGAGCTTACGCGGAACTTCTTGCGAAAAGCAGAGTATAGCGAACAATTCAACGAGTAATATACCACCATAGCGATTAACGATTAAGAGAGAAAGGATACAACACAGATTACACGCGCACTACCTAAGAACACGAGCCAACACACAGACACACACAGACACACGTACACACCACGCGTCTACTGTACCATAGTACTTGTACCATATTTATATTTTATATGTACAAATTAGCCATGTAATTTCTTGTAATAAAGATCAATTTACAACGTGCATCGTTGCCCATTGCAAAACCGCGATTTCCGTCCCCGTCCATCTGGAGGGACCAGTTTTTTACCCTGCGAAATTCCAAACCAGTCCTGCTCGCGCAACGAGAGGGACCGAATTCTGTTGATCAGTTCCAAACGGTAGGTGAACATCTGTTTTAATTACTAATTCATCGTTGCAACGAGAAATGACAAACCGAGACGCATAAATCACGACGGGCGTTCGTCATCCGGCTCGCGAGGCGAAGCTGATTCGCGTGCTGGCGTGGAACAATGCCGAAGAAGTTACACGCCCACGCGTGTACGCCGTCGCTTGTACGAAGCGGAACGAATCGGTGAGATTGAATGGAACACGGCGCAGGTAAGGACGTCGTAATTAGAGGCGGAACAGAGTCGGGCCGCGGAAGCGGGGCTAATGATGCGGAAGAGGAACAATGATCTTGGATTTCTGCCTCCTCCTGGAAGCTTGCGAGCCGTACTCTGAAGAGGACTGTATGTGTACGTGTGTGTGTGTGTATGCTCTTGGGAGTTCGAAGCCGAGGGGGTGGTTTAAAGGGGAGCGAAACAGGACCAAGTTATTTACACTTACACGGTTCTTATTCCGACGATAATGACACGTATCGATTAATGTAAGTACAGATAAATTGAGAAGAGACGAATTCATGACACGGCTAATTAAGCTTCGCGTTCGATCTGATGAAACTGCATACACACACACACACACACACACACACGCATTTTACAAAATTATTATTTCGCGAGCAAAGGAAGCGGCAGTTGGACAGGGACTCGTTGTTGAAATATTGAAGAAGAGATTGGTTCAGGGGAGAGATATATTCTCATTTAGATCGGACAGTAATCGTCAATTCTCTGTGATATCGTTCGATGTGGGCAAGGATTGAAGCGACCTTCGGGTCAAACCGCGTAAGGCTCGCGAAAACGCCGGGGAGGCTCGGGACAATCCGCGGACCTTGGCCGTCCAGAAGAGGTGCAATTGAATCAATCGACGACGCCGGCTCGTTTGCATTACGCGCAATAGATAACAGATAACTCGTTTGTGGAATAAAAATAGAACCGGCGTAACCTCTGGCACAGTATTCTTCCATTAGACAAGTGCAACTACATCTTATAATATCAGTCGATTGGAGGACGAGAAAAATGATCGACTATCTCCAGATATTGTTCCAACTGAAAACAATATTGCTTTTCCATAGCAGACTATCCAGCGTGAACAATTCTAATTACTCGAGGAGGAACGAAGCGTTTAAACCAAATTTAAATATTAATAAAAATCCCACGAGACTCCATTCGTCGTCTCTGTAGGCAGTCGTACCTTGACGAAAGAGAAAAACCAGGAATGCGGCGTGTCGCGAACGTATCTCGCACGAACGTGTTCGCGGGAGAGAAGCGAGGATTTCGGAGCGAGTCGAAGGTGGGGGCGGCACGAAATTATCGGCGGCGAGACGGAGAGGGAAGATGATCGTCCCGTGCGTTCGAAAGAGGAGCGTGCGGGCAAAAGACGATTAGGGGGCGGCCCGACAGAGAAGAGAACTCGTTGTCTCGCGGCTCGGACGAGCAGCAAGCGGTAGTAGCGTGGAGGCAGTCCGAGCGAGAATGACTACTCGTCGCGCGAGTGTTCGAAACGTCCCGGGGCTACGGGCCTTGCTGGCGCTGGCCCTGATCGCGCCCTTAACCGCGGCCTTAAACCGGAACGATCTGTACCCGTACTCGACGCCTGGAACATCGATCCTGGAAACGGGCGAGAACGGATTGCTGTTGTCAGCGGAGGCGATCGTCAAGACGCCTATCGTTTTCTTCAACAGGCCGTACACTAACATATTCGTGAGTAAAGATTCATTGCGAAGTCGACCTAAAAAAAATATCAGTATTGTTCTGTACGTCAGTCTTTTATAAATTTATTTAAGATTCATTCTTAGATTCGAGATTAAATTCTTGGTAATGTCACATTTTACATATATTGTATCTAAACTTAGAAAGAGGAAAGTCTATTTTAGAATCGGGCGAAATAAACAGGAATTCGATAAAAAAAAAAAATCGTTATTTTTACCAAGGCGGTGTGTTCGGTCTAGCCGCGGTTTTCCATCCGGATACCAGCAGCCACTGGTACTCGGCGTTTAATTTCGGCGGCTCACGAAAATACACGGGGGGGCTGTTCTACTGGAGTAACCCTCGGACCGCGCGAAACTGTGTAAACACGGGGCGCGCGTGCCACTGTTTACGCTTGGTCGTAGGGAAAATCGTTTATTTAATGTTTTAAATTAGAACCAGTGTACCGCGCGTGTTGCAACAGGGAAACGTCTCTAGTGTAAATACGACGAGCACGCGGGAAACGTTCTCCTCCTCGTTTTGTAACCGGGGAAAATAGGAAAAGGCCCGACGGCGCGTCGGCGATGACGAGACGTGGTGTAACTCGTCCCGTTAAGTATTAATTCGCGCGTGCATGTAACAGCCAGGAATGTTCGGTCATCCCCTTAATTCGACTCGCGTGGTCTAATCTGTCGTCATCTTCTGGCGTGACACGAATTCATTTGCCCGCGACGATCCAGCCGGCTGGTCAATCGCTTAATTGCGCTTGGGTCGACGCACGAGTCCGGTTCTTCTCGCGTCGGACGATAAAACCGCAGGACTCAACGAAAATCGTCGGACAATCGCGAAAGTCTTCTCAAAGAACGGAACGGCAGTAAAAGAACAAGAGTCAGATTACACAGTTTGAACTTCAGATTAGATTCCCCGGATTTATGTGCACACGATTTGACTTTTTGGGAAAGCGACAGTGAGAGATTAGTTTCCGGAAGGTATTGAGTCACGGCGATCAGACAAACAGATTAAAGAGTCCTGGGATGATGTCACTGTTCTACGAACCGATTCACGGCGTGAGCTGTGATCGCGTACGCACCGTGAATGAACGTTGATTGCGCGGCACGTCGATTCCCTCTTCGCGTACATACTTACACGTATGTACGTAAGTAACATTATATCCGGAGGAATCTTCGTTGATTGATCCGGCCTAGCCAAGGTGCATGATCTCATGCGCGTAGTGTCTAACGTCATGTTTTCATGTGTAAAACCATTATTGCGTGTGACGACACGTAACAGAACCCATTCACTTCTTAAGTTATTTATTTATTACTAAAACACAGATTTACTGTGTAAACACGGGGCGCGCGTGCCACTGTTTACGCTTGGTCGTAGGGAAAATCGTTTATTTAATGTTTTAAATTAGAACCAGTGTACCGCGCGTGTTGCAACAGGGAAACGTCTCTAGTGTAAATACGACGAGCACGCGGGAAACGTTCTCCTCCTCGTTTTGTAACCGGGGAAAATAGGAAAAGGCCCGACGGCGCGTCGGCGATGACGAGACGTGGTGTAACTCGTCCCGTTAAGTATTAATTCGCGCGTGCATGTAACAGCCAGGAATGTTCGGTCATCCCCTTAATTCGACTCGCGTGGTCTAATCTGTCGTCATCTTCTGGCGTGACACGAATTCATTTGCCCGCGACGATCCAGCCGGCTGGTCAATCGCTTAATTGCGCTTGGGTCGACGCACGAGTCCGGTTCTTCTCGCGTCGGACGATAAAACCGCAGGACTCAACGAAAATCGTCGGACAATCGCGAAAGTCTTCTCAAAGAACGGAACGGCAGTAAAAGAACAAGAGTCAGATTACACAGTTTGAACTTCAGATTAGATTCCCCGGATTTATGTGCACACGATTTGACTTTTTGGGAAAGCGACAGTGAGAGATTAGTTTCCGGAAGGTATTGAGTCACGGCGATCAGACAAACAGATTAAAGAGTCCTGGGATGATGTCACTGTTCTACGAACCGATTCACGGCGTGAGCTGTGATCGCGTACGCACCGTGAATGAACGTTGATTGCGCGGCACGTCGATTCCCTCTTCGCGTACATACTTACACGTATGTACGTAAGTAACATTATATCCGGAGGAATCTTCGTTGATTGATCCGGCCTAGCCAAGGTGCATGATCTCATGCGCGTAGTGTCTAACGTCATGTTTTCATGTGTAAAACCATTATTGCGTGTGACGACACGTAACAGAACCCATTCACTTCTTAAGTTATTTATTTATTACTAAAACACAGATTTATAGAATCCATTGATAAATAGTGACAAAAAGAATAAAAGAAAAATGAACGAATTAATGTAAAAATATAAAATAGGCTAATTTTTAGGAGATTTAGCATAATTGAAATATAATGAGTCCGGAGGAGAGGAGAAGCGCAAATTTGTAACCGAGAGAAAAGAGAATTACCTTTTCTGTTATTTTATTTGATAAAACTATAGTAATTTCCCGTAAGCGTATAGCCTCGCAGTATCACGTTACTACGAGGAGCACGTGCTGTGATTGGATCCCGTGCTCCATTCATCGACACGCTTAATAAGCGCGGCCACTGCGCCGTTATCGATGGGACGCCTGCGTTTCGGCGCCAGGACCAATTGCTCATCGAATAAACGCGATCGAGCCGCGCGCGCGATGGATAATCCGCGGAAGACTCGAGCCTCGCTGCACTCGTCAAGATACGACGTCCAGATAAATGGAAATCGAGATCAGAACGCTCAACCGTTTTCGTAGCCGGTTAATTAAGCTCCGGTCGAGCATCAGATAAATATTTAATTAGCCTGCGCGTTGCATAAGTGCACCGAGACAAAAAGACGTTCCCGAACAATGAATGCAGCCGCGTTAATTAAACACGTTCGATTAATCATGCGCCGGTCGTATTTTAATACGTCAAATTGATGTAATCCGATGATATTCGTGATCCTATTAAAGGATAATTAATCTATTCCGTCCTTCCAGTTTTGCGCGGCGTCGTTTGTTGGTCCGATACCATCTCGTTGAACGAATGTTATCGGTAGCCAGTCGGTCGATTTGCATCCGGATGGATGTTAATACGATACGGGACGATTTACGGTGTTAAAACGCGGCGAATTAGCCTTGACTGGTTTCCCACAATTAGTTAACGCACGATTTGTAGGAGGCGCGTTGCGAAATTTCAACGTGGATCGTCATCGCACGACCGCCAATTATCCTCGCTTAAAAATACCGGTTAATTAAATGAACGCCAATAACGAACGTACCCTGGTCTCGTCTTTTCCAGCAATTTTAAAGCCGATTTCACGCGAGGATTCGTGTCTCGAGGCCCACGCGCGTCGCGGACACGCGATGGCGAACGTCGTCGGTCGATGATAATTTTCTCATAGAACAGAACGACGTTTCGGGTGTTCGCCATGCGGACACACGGATTAGCTTCGGCTCAGGATTCGATTGACACAGATAATAGATGGGGACCGCGACAATCTACTTAGCCAGTGCTGCCTACACGATAATCATCCCCTATTCCGTCGCTCATCGCCGACGATTCGCAGTCATCAAAATGATTGCGCCCGATTACACGATTGCGTTAACGCGTGCTGTCTTTCATTCCGACGTCTAGCCCAGGGAAAAAGAAATTTTCAACTGTTACATCGTCATCGCAATTCCATACGCCATTCCGCTCCGTTTTAAGGTTCTATGAACCTTTACATAAAAATAATGAATTAATGACTAGATGTTAAATTAATAGAACACTGCACAAAATTTTAGAAATTTTGCAAGCCTGTTAAAAAATTTATTACATCTAGAATTCTTATATCGAATGATAGAGTTTTCATTAAGCTTTTAACAGAGATCTTGCGGCTCATACAATTTTAATCTCTGCTGTCGACAATTGAAAATGAAATTGCGATAAACAATAACAATAAAACAATATTTGACGAATGCGAAACTGTTTCCCAGACTTCCCCTAATTGATACTATATTTATTTTCCGAATACAATTTATACTCGCGAAATGGAATTGTCTAAACTCGATTCCCGCACTAGGGGAAATTCAACTGGTGAATCTCGTTACCCCGGCAAAGTGCTCGGCGAAATGATCGAGTTTTCGAGTTTAAACGAGCACGAAGTTGGTATTTAACGCGGCCGCGGTCGTTGTTTGTCCGGGCTAATTGAAGCTATCGCCAGTTTCCCAGCAAACCGCAATTCACTCGCTCGCCCGCTCTCTTCTAATTTCATCCAACGATTCGTAGGGTTAAACATTTTTCTCCAATCGGCGAGATCGTGTGAACGGTACGTATTTAATCGAGTTCACACCGTTCGGTTTCAATTCCATTGTTAGAGCAAACCGATTGCATCGTAATCCAGCCGGGAATTATACTAATAAACGAGATAAATGAAATCGGTCGTTCGTGTAATCGCATACAGTCGCGATTACGTTCGATTAGCAGGACTTGTTTCGCTCGGATGGTTCCCGGCTTTTTGAAACGCGATAATCGACGTTCAGAGAATCAGGAAGAGAATCCGAGACACCGCGTAGTTATTACTTGGAACGGAGTGATATCTATTTTCACCGTTTTCTCCAGCGTGCACGATCACACGTCCGAGTGGATTACGTTTGTGTGCGTGTGTCATCGGCTCGGCTGCGACCTACGACCCGGAGCGATAGCCCCGGCGAAGATAGCGGGAAAAACTCTCGATACCGCTGTCAAAACGCGTCCGAGCGCGGAAACAGAAAGGAAAGCGGAGGAATCGATGATCGCCGTCGGGACGGCTGGCATCGATTATCGGTGATCCCGGTTTCCCGACGCGCCTCGTAATTATCGCACGGAAAAATCGTCTAATCGGAAACGGCTAATCCCTGACGATTGCCATCGATCGCGGCCGGGGGATTAAAGCGCAGGGGAAACCGGTCGATCGGAATAATTACGGGGCCTTTAAACCCTTTTTTCACTCGTGTCCTCTTTTTTACTCAGACTCTCGAGTGACGCGAAGAAACAATTCGACGAGTCGACGTTCGGAGAATTTCTCTGCCTGCCTTCTGTCTTCTTTATTGGATATAAATTTTGTATATTAATAAATGCGTCTGTGTTTCAATGCTCGACACGTCGTCGTCGTCGTCCCGGGCTGTACAGCGTCGTAACAATATTTATAGAACGCCAGACACCTAAGGCGCGATGAAACAAATCTAACTGGCAGCGGGAATGAAAAGGATCATCGTCGGTTTAATTCGTGTCAATTCTGTGACCGGGCCGCTCGTTGAACGGCTACACTCGTGACTATTATAATGGAGCGTTAAATCCGACGCGGCGCCCACAGCATTAGCATCACGAGTGGAAACAATACGAACAATCAGGCCGAAGTTCCAGAAACAGGAACGTGTGAATGGTTGAAACCAGGCCGGAATTCGGTTGTCGCCGTTAAACTTCCCTGGTTAACCAGCAGCCTCGTTGCCTACTCGAAGCGTCACTTCCGTTTTCCCTTTCATTCAACGCGCGCGAACTTCCCCTTCTGTTAAACGCTTTACACGATTGAAAATTGAAAAATACACATCTGATGTTAAAATTCAACGATGAACTCAATTATGTTCAATGAAATTAAATCACTTTTCTTTTATTAAATAATTGAGAGATGCAAATGGAATTGTAAAATGAAGAAGTCGAGTGAACTAGGGTCCTTTGAAGATACAAATAGTCTCAGGCGTCCAGACCCCTGCTCCCATTTCCAGGGAACCCTGGTGACCCAAAAATACGAAATACGAAGAAGTAGGCCGGGTGCAGAGACATTCGCCGACGCAAAAATAGTATTTCGGTGAAGTTTCAACACAGGAGCCGTTTCTCCCATGGGACAGCTGCTCGCGCTACGAACGTGGCGTAACGCGCCTTTCAGTTTAGCCAATTGACGATACGGCGTCTGGTTCGTTAAAAGAAATGCATACCGGTTGAACGAGCGGCTCGTCTCGTTAGATTTGATTTGATTAAGATTGAGACAACCCCTGTACACAAGTACAGAAGCTTAAATGATATAAAAAGAGATTCAAACTGTTCTCATCGTTACTTTCAGCTTAAACACGCAAACTGAAGTTTCTTCAGAATCTTTAATTCCACTTAGGGTTTTTAATTAAGAACATTTCCTGTCTTTACTCATTTTTCCTTCTGAAGGAGTCTCGAATAAAAAATATTATCTCGTTTTAGGTAAACGCAAATGGTGTCCTCTCGTTCAGGAGGCCGATGCAAAGGTTCTTCAATATTCCGTTCCCACTTGACGATCCGATTATCGCACCTCTCTACACCCACGTCGACACCAAGGCATCCGGAAGGGTGTACTATGGCGAGACGGACACGCCGGAAGTTCTCTCGCGAGCCGGAGGACTGGTTCGAAGTGCTTTCAAGGATGCCGAAGATTTCGTACCTGAGACCGTGTTCCTCGCCACATGGGTGGACGTCGGTTATTACAACGGGAAAGCCGACAAAGTAAATGAAAAACAATCCAGCATTCGTATTTAAAAAAACATAAATTTCGTATTCGTATTTAAAAAAACATAATTCCACGAGTCCGTAAAGATTCGATTCTTTCCTGACGAAACTCCATTTTTGTTAGGTGAATACGTATCAAGTGGCCATTTCGTCGAACGGTACGCATTCTTACGTCGAACTATTGTACCCTGAAAACGGTATACAGTGGATCCAAGGTGAGTCGCACCCCAGCGGCTTGCCGGACGCGAAAGCTCAGGCAGGGCTGATGAACGAAGAACACGTCGTGCATACTTTGAAAGGTTCTGGGACTGATCAGATTCAAAACCTTGAAAAGTGAGTTATTGCTTATTTCGATATTAATTTGAATCGGGATAAAATCTGATTTTCTGTTCAGATGGTCGAATGTGAACCGGCCGGGGCAGTGGTTGTTCCAAGTCGGATCACCCAATCACGACGAGTATATAAAAGTCCCTGACAACGTGGAAGGTGAATATTACATCTAATCAGTGAACTGTGATCGTAAATTATACAAGGTTCTTGTATTTTATTAATTAGACAGCAGCATGACGAATCAAGTGGCGAACTGCAGAACGGGCGCGACGAGCTGCCACAGTAAGGCTACGTGCGTCGACTACGAGGTCGGCTTCTGCTGCCACTGCAAGCAAGGATTCTTCGGCAACGGGAAATCCTGCCAGCCGAACGGTGAGAAATCGCGAGCCCCTTCGTTACGTCGCTGAAACGTTACGAACTCGGCAACCCTTCGCTCCAATTATCCGCGGGTCCTTTGATGTGGCCGGGCCGCATAAAAATCTCGAGAGAGCCTCTCACCGCGGCTTTTAACTTTCCGACTCTCTTTCCCGTCCGGACGAGCGACTGTCGCGAACGCCAATAGCTGACGGTTCCGGTCTCTCTGATCTATTCATAGATCGTCCGCTCGTAAAAGAAGAGGCTCTCCTCGCAGGCCCTTTGAACGACTGACTGCCCGTCGTTGCCGTGGTTTATGCACAGATAAACTGTGAACTGTTTGGTAACATTGTGCAGACGTTCCGCTGCGTGTAAACGGACGGATTTCCGGGACGATCAACGGGATCGAGTTCCCCGCTAGAGACCTTCAATGCTACGTGCAAACGGAAGACGGAAGAACGTACACGGCTCTATCGAGAGTGCCCGAAGAAGTCGGCGCCAGCTTCCAGCTGCTGGGAAATCTGGGTGGAGTCATCGGCTGGCTGTTCGCGAAACCAGTCAGGAACAGCGAAACGAAAAATGGATACGAGCTCACGGGTATTTACGATCTCCGCGGATTCTGTTCCTACTTTCGAAGTTCCCACCGATGATCGTTCGATGATGTTTTCGCAGGGGGTGTGTTCAACCACACGACGGAACTGTCGTTCCCTTCCACCGGCGATAAGCTGACGATACGAAGCAATTACATCGGCCTGGACGTGTTCGGCCAGCTGAAGATGGAGGCGGTGATCAAAGGTACGTTGCCGCGGTTGACTAGGGACACCACGGTCGACTACGGTGACTACGATGAACTTTATACCAGAGCGCAAGCCGGCGTGATACGCGCGCGGAGCGAGAGAGCCTGCAAGCTGAACGAAGCCGGCGAGGAGCGAGAGCTAAGCTTCTCGCAGGATCAGACGATCGTCTATAACGAGTGTCCCTATCTGAGCGTCGACCCCGAGTACGATACCACGCGAATCAAATTCTTCAGGGGTGTGACCACTTACGAAGCTACCGAGGGAATTATCCGGTTCGCGGTAAACACGAAAGCGACGCCGTTAGAACAGGAGGATCCCTGTATTCAAGGGAAGGAGACCTGTGGCGATCACAGTTCCTGCGTCGTCGAGGGGGATGAATTCAAGTGCATCTGCAACCCTGGGTAAAACATCGTCAACATCTGCGTTTTTTAAATCTCGCGTTCCCATTTTTATCACCGCATTTCGTTTGCTCAGCTATCAATACTTGTACGAGGAAGGCGGGAACGCGATCTGCGTCGACGTGAACGAATGCAGCGCGGGAAATCACATGTGCTCTCCGGACGCGCAGTGTTTCAACCAGGAGGGTGGCCACACCTGCCAGTGCAGGCCGGGATTCTCTGGCGACGGCAGAACGTGCGAGAGTGAGTTCACTTACCGTCTGACGAGAGTTACCCTACACCGATAACTACGTCGGCATTCCGACGTCTGTTTTACGTATCGCGAGTAACGCATCGTCCGTTGAAAACGCAGAACTCCCATCGTGCGAGGACACGCGGTGCGGCAATTACGAACAGTGCGTGATGATCGACGGCGCGCCTAACTGCGTCTGTGTGCCGGGATTCGAGGACACGGAGCAGGGCTGTTATCCCTCGCAACGCGGTAAAAATTTATTTCACGCGACGACACAATTTGCTCGATCCGGTGTCACTAATAAAATCGTTGCAGGTTCGTGCGACGAAGAAGACAACTGCTCCCAGTACGGTGTCTGCAATTTCGATCCGGCGAGACAGAAGCACGTATGCATCTGTCTGCCTGGCTTCATTGGTGAGAACTCCACATTTCCTTGCATACGTTTAGTCTTTAATATCGTCAGATTAACGAAATGAAAATACATGCATAGAAACGATCTCTGAGGGAACGGTTTTAATCCCTGCGAAATCGCGGGATTGCCTTGCATACTTTAAGCAATTTGCAAGCGAATCCCGCAAATAAATTCCGGCACCAACGGAATCGCGATTGTTTCCAGGCGACGGTTACACGTGCTACCCGGAAGCGGACGTGACCACAACGGACGGACCGCCGAGACCGCAGTGCGCGGGCGAGATGTGTTGGTGCCCCGGGGGATGGGAACTTCGAAACAACGACTGCGTGCCGTCCGAACGCGAGCATAAACCAAACAACTACGATCGAGATCGTAAGTACCGATATCAAACTCCATTCTTTATTTTTTAGGCGAAACTGCATGAGAATATTAATTGCGAGTTTTAAAACGATCCTTCGATTCTCACAAACACGTACAACTAGACGACTTTTATATAATACATTAATTAAAACTCGTAATAAAAGCGAAACGCTTGTTTTACGAGAATTGAAGGATTAAATTTAAGTTTTACTTCTTTGAATGAGAAATGAACAATTCGATTAAAGCACGAGAATCTAATCGCATGAGGAACGTAATTAGAGTTCGATAATTGTCTGCCACGTGACTCGCCACGATCATTAACCGGTGGCGACGAAACGATCTTGCATCGTGCGTTCCAGTATCAGCCCGCCCAAGCCCGGAATGCTACCAAGAAGACTGCGCGTGTCCCGTGGGATACTATTACAACCATCCCGAGGAGATTTGCTCGCCCCGACCTGGATTCAACCACGAAACGATGGGCCCATCTGGATTTCACTGTACGGTGGCTTTGCTTATGCTAATTAACACTTTGCACGAGCCTTATCGCTTCAAGCACACAATCAGCGGATTGTAATTTTCATTGCGTCATCAGACATGTAACGGATCGATTATCAGAATAATCGCAATAAGTGATGTGATAATCGGTCTGTGAAAAAAGATCCATGACACGTATTTTAATACCTAAATCAGTTTTTAAATCGCCGAGGCGATTATAGCACCAGACATTATCATAATCGCACACGCTTGTGCCTAGTATCGTGCAACGTGGTGAACAGGTGTCACCCCTACGCGCAATGCATCTTCGTGGCGGCCACCAGCGATTACGAGTGCCGCTGCAACCCCGGATACGAAGGTGACGGTTTGGACTGCAGGAGGACAGGTACGTGTTCACTCGGATCTTGTTCGATTTATTCAACTGAAGGAAAACCGTGATAGCGATTTTACTCGCGTCGCTCGAGAATCGAAAGCCGATCGAATGAATATTATTCTGGCGCAGAAGTGTCCTGTTTGGAAGTAGACATCTGCGACCCGAACGCGTCCTGTCAGCAAGAAGAATCCCTGGCCAAATGTGTCTGCAACCCGGGTTTCGAGGGGGATGGAACAACGTGCAGTCAAATCGGTCATATTACTTTTCTTATACTTCGCTCCACAGTAGCTCGAATATCGCACAACTGCATGAGCGAATGATAGATTAGACCAGTGGTGGGCAAACTTTTTTAATGGGGGGGCCACAAAGTTTAAGAAATTCTAGAGGAGGGCCAGAATTATAGAAAAAATGCACTTTATACTTCTCGACCGTGAAAACGTAATTATAGCGGGCCATATACTATCCATGTCGATGGGCCCTCGGCGGGCCGGATTAACCCATTCGCTGCCAAGGACGAGTATACTCGTCCTGCTTTAAATATATTATAACATGCAGGCTCTTTTGAAGGCCCATTGCCAACGACGAGTATACTCGTCTTTGGTTTTCTGCTTCTAAATGATTATGTATGATAATATATGTGCTCTTACCAAGAAATAACTTGGCAGCGAATGGGTTAAATAATTTCGCGGGCCGTAGTTGGCCCGCGGGCCGTACTTTGCCCACCACTGGATTAGACCATTGGTGTAAAAGCTCTCAATAAGTTTTTCCTATAATAATTTGTTTCGAATATAGACGAGTGTAACAGCAACTCGGATTGCTTCGAGAACGGGCGCTGTTCTTACAATACTGCCAGTTCCCGTTACGAGTGCACCTGCGTGCCGGGATACAGCATGGTCGACGGAAGGTGCGTGGTCTCCGATTGCTCGACAAATCCGTCCCAGTGCCACGTGAACGCGCAATGCGTGTCGGCTGGGGATGGTGGGTACAAGTGCGTGTGCATAGACGGTTACAACGGAGACGGGATACGGCAGTGCGTCGAGGACCACATTGGATGCAACGTGCTGAATAATTGCGGGAGGAACGCGGTCTGCGGTTACAATCAGACCACCGCCAATTTCGCCTGCGTATGCCAGACGGTATGTTTATTCTATCAACAGTACGACTCCCGATCCAAATGTTTTTCATTGATACTAGTAATGTTGAACATCGATAGCGCAATTGGTAATTCGACAGTCGGAAGTAACGAGAGAATAGTAATGGCCAGATGTTTGAATTTAATTAATGATTAAATGGAATTCATATTTGCAGTGCGAACCTGGTTACGAAGTAATTATTTTCAATAATAGTATATTGAATATTCGAACCTGCTTTTAACAACAAATTCAATATTTCGTTGTCAATAAATGTACGTTATTGGTGTGTGTGTGTGTGTGTGTGTGTGTGTGTGTGTGTTCGATCTTTTACAGTTGATTAAAATTAAAATCGTGCTCAGAACTGTGCATAATGTTGACTCGATTTAGAAGGTAAATAATATTGCTCAGACCGAGTTTCGAAATGGATTACAATTATCTGAAACTTTTACCTTGATACTATAGTTAGTTATTCATAGTCAGGTTTGTACCAGTAGTCATACGAAATTAAATCACGATTCGCATGGAACGTTGTTTCTGAACAAACATTCGTGACAGATGCGACGGATCACGGAAGGACATAAAGAGTGGTTCATGTGTGTTTTCAGGGCTTTTACGGTGACGGTTTCACGTGTTTGCCCCAGTCGTCTTGTAGACACGATTCGACGCTTTGCTCGCCGGACGCGGCCTGCGTCGCCGCCGGGGAGAATCTGTTCGCCTGCGTGTGTAACGAAGGTTTCACCGGGGACGGTACCGAGTGCAAACCGAGACCGAAACACGAGGCGAACTTCTTGTTGGTGAACCAGGGAATGGCGACCCTAAGGATACCGTTCGCACCGACGCAAGTGGAACCCGGCAGCCCGATCTACATCGCGTACACTCAAATGGCGATCGCGATCGACATCGATTGCATGAACGGAAAGGCATACTCGAGCGACATCACCGGTAAATAAATCACAAAGCGTTTTGCACATTTAAAGGCATTGAAAGTAATTTAACTGTTGAACGAAGAATATGATTGGACCTATCTGGAAATTTATGTAAGGCGTCGCGTTAGATCAGTTAGTGGATCAAGAAGCAATTTTCCTTGTGGAAATATCGTGGTACGAGAACGAAAGGAGGAAGGAAGGTCCGTCTAGACGAGATTTATCTTGCAGGTAATCGAATAATCGAGTTAATGTACAACGGATCGATGGCCGAGACGTTCCTGACGAAAGTTAGCAGCCCCGAGGGACTAGCGGTCGATTGGGTCTCGAGAAATATTTTCTGGACCGACTCCGGGAAGACGACCGTCGAGGTAGCCAATCTCGAGACGAAGAAACGGAAGGTACTCGTTTCCGACGGACTGGTCAATCCTAGAGGGATAGCCGTGCACCCTTATCGGGGGTAAGTGTCCTTTCTCTCTGAACCATTTATCCGGCAAACTTTAAATCAGGCAAACAACCGCGGAAACTATATACTTATTTCTTTCGAACTAACTTCTGATTCAATAAGGCCTAAGTATTTTTCGAGTCCTCTAAGTGCTTCGACTATCGGTCCGATGAAAGTAAACGGATCGGAGAGAAAATATAGGAGACCGATTAAGCCGTGGAAATTTGCACGTTCGCAGGAAGATATTTTGGTCGGATTGGAATCGTGCGTCGCCTAAATTGGAGTGGGCCAACGAGGACGGTACCGGGCGGGCAATCTTCCTCCAAGGGGATTACGTGAAGTTACCGAATTCATTAAGTATCGATTGGTCGACGGATGAACTCTGCTGGGCGGACGCCGGGACGTTTACGATAAGTAAATACAGATCTTCCCATGAAATTTTCTCAGCTAATAGAGATTTCGAGCCCCCCCAACACTTTCGACAATCGCCTCGTCTATAATCTTCGACCCTCCTTTTTTGACAATTGTTCACAGCCTGCGTGGAGATCGATACCAACAAGGTTAACGTCGTCGCCAACCAGCTCATCTACCCGTTCGGTCTCGCTATCTCCCAACAGAATTACTATTGGACCGACTGGAAGACGTAAGTCGATCATATAAGTAACGTATTAGGACACTTCGAAGTCAAAGACTATCTCGATTAAAAATCTTAATAATACATTAACGTTTCATTGTACTTCTCAGAGTATAAACAATTTCCATATTTGCTATTTTCATATGAACAACAAAATACCCTCGAAGTAGCTAATTTGAATTAAAACTGTTCCCACGCGGGGACAATACTATAATTGGTGTCGTTATTTATCGTCGCAGTCATAAGATCGAAGTCGCTATGAAGAGTTCGGGGGACAGGAAGTCGGCCATATCGGTACCACCCGGAGGAAGCGGTAAATTATATGGGATAGTCGTCGTCCCCGAGTCGTGCCCGAGAGGTAAATCAAGTTTTACGTCGTTCATCCCCTATGAAATTGATCATCAACCCTTTAAGAATACATAAAACCACACGGAATTCACGTTCACATCACCATCACTATGAAATTTCTGTCAAAAGCTGTAGTGTCTTAACTAATTACTAAACTATGTACTTATAAAAGTGCATTTATAAAAAAAAATGCATTTGCATGAAACATAATTTGACACTAGAACTACCAAATCACACAAAATGACTGGTTTTGAATGGAGAAATGGATGTATAAAAAAAAATCGGTAGTTCTAGTGTTAAATTAATATTGCAAAATATAAATAAATGAAAATCTGCAGTTGATTAATTGTAACTTTGTGACAGTGAGCAACGTTTGTCAGTACGAGAACGGAAGGTGTAGCAAGGATCAATTGTGCCTGCCGAACGGCGAAGGAGGAAGATCGTGCGTGTGCGCGGACGACGCGTCAGGGCCATGCACCGACACGAATTAAGTAACGTTAAGATTATAGATTGTGGAGATCGCGGAAGAGAAGAGTTTATTCGCGATGCGTCGGAGTCCGTTAGATTATGTGTAAATTATAATAATAGTAATAATGATAATAATAATAGTAATATTGTTTTTGGTATGGCTAGTTTTATATCGTCCACGTTTTTCGAGTAACATTATCTTTTTGTATCTAACACGGAGCCTGCGGGCGTGAAGCTGCGGCCAGTGACGAGCGTTATTTAATAAAAATTTAAGAATCACGACGTCGTATTATTTTTACGGATTGCAATTATTGAGCTGATATTTTGCAATAAACAACTTTATTTATTTCCTTATTTATTGGTGCTAGCGAACAAACTTTTATGCGGAAATTGTAGGCACTGACGGTCCCTACAAGGAAGATTCTATGAATTTTTCTTCTAACTTCG